CCAGTCATTTAGAAGATTGATTATCCAGGCCTGTCCTGCTACTAACATCCCAGAACAGAGGTTAGCCTGGTTATTTTGTTTTTTTAGTTTTCCATCAAAACTTACCGTTTTCTTGTATGGTTGATTACCTGGAAAAATCAATTGCCTAATCATCAAACCCCTAATTACTCTAGGCAATCTTCAATCTATATTTAAGTGGAGTCATAATCATCTTCTATCCATCTAAATTTTTCCTTAAAGTATCCATGGCCATGGATTACTAGGCCCTCTGGTGGGCCTGGGGTTAATAGGGCACTAGACTTGGCATGAGGAAGGGCTGGGTTCAAATTCCACCCTGGACACTTAATAACTGAGCCTCAGTTTCCTCGTCTGTAAAATGTAGTACCTACCTCACAAGTCAGTTGTGAGGCTTAAATGAGATACTGTAAAGGTAAAGCACTGTGTAAACGTTAAAAAAAGAGAAAGAAACCATTTATATAGCACCTACTATGTGACAGGCACTTGGCAATAACTATCTCATTTGATCCTCACAACAACCCTGAGAGGTAGGTGCTATCATTATCCTCATTTTACAGATGAGGAAACTGAGGCAAACAGAGGTTAAGTGGCTTGTCTAGGGTCACACATCTAGTAAGTGTCTTAGGCTAGATTTGAACTCAGTTCTCCCTGATTACAGGCCTGCCTGGCACTCCATCCACTGTGCCACTTAAAAACTCACTGTCTTTATTCCCCACTTTGTCCCAGGTATTAGCAGTCACTCCCTCTTGAAATTATTTTGTGAGATTTTGTATTTCCTTACTATATTTTGTGTCTGTCCCATTTGTTTCCCCAGTATATGGTAAGCCCTTGAGGGCAGGGACTTCTAAGTTACTGTCTTTGTATCCCTGGGACCTTGAACAGTGCCTTATAGTCACTTAATAAATGCTTGTTCTAATGATGAGTTGAATTGAAGTTTTATGTAAGTGGTAGGTATCAATATTAGCATCTACGAATAGGATTAGTTCTAGTACAAACTTCCTTCTTACCTAGGCTATGCTCCCCACATTTCAGATTGGGCCATTCCTCTCTTCCCCCCCGGGTAGCAGTAGAGTGCCATCCTTAATTTGTCAAGCTAACGGACTATATAAGTAAAAAGTAAGCTGGCGATAAGAAAACTGAGAAATGAATTGATCAATGAACATCTATTAAGCACCAACTCTGTACTGGGCACTGGAGCCAGAAATGAAATCAGTCCCTGGCCTGGAAAAGTACACAGTCTAGGTGAGAGAGACTCTGGGTGTGTGTGGGTGGGTGTGTACCTCTATATGCATATAAATCTCTTTTTCTCTCCAGTAGATAGATAGATAGATAGATCTATATAGATATACATATACATGTAGCTCTGTCTACATAGATATAAGTATACATGTTTATAGGCACACACATTTATCTGAAAGTAAGTGAGATGTGTGTGGGTATGTGTATGTGTAACCTGAGCTCCCAAACCCACTGGTATGGAACCCTGTGCTCATTGGCGGCAATCAATACCCCATGCCAGTAACAGGGTTCAGAGGAGAGCTGGTCAGAGCAGTAGAGATGAGAGATTCACTTTCTTCAGTCTCTTCAGGCTCTCCAGTCTCTGGGGACTTTTGGCTTCTAGTGTTAAAAGAGAAGACATGTGGGATTCCAATCTCTCTTCAGGGCCATGAAGGGAGAAATAATCTGGGATGACGCCAACAGGAGAGGAGCTGGCAGTCTCTACCATGTCCCTATCCTTAGCTTGGTATACTGGAAGCTTAGGGGAATTTTCCCCTTGGGTGAGAATTGGGACTCTGACTGCCTGTCTGTCTGTCTTTTTGTCTCTCTGTGTCTGTCTCTCTGTCTGTGTCTGTCTCTGTCTGTCTGTCTCTGTGTCTTTGTCTGTCTATCCACTGAACTGAAATATCTTGCTCCCAATGGGAGAGTTCCTTCATGCTGTATTGACTAGTATATGTTCTCATATGTACACTCTTTCTGACTTCTGTTTTGCTACTGATTTGGATAAATGGGTTTCTTTGCCATTGGCTATGTGTGTGTTCATTGTGGAACCGGTATTTGGTGGAAGGAAGTCAAGCTTTGAATATTTTGGGGGTCTTCCTTTTCCCATTAATGAGCATTGATTGGGAGTTTAGCTTAAACTGAGGACAACATCCCCTAAATTAAGAATGTTTAAGGGAACAGATTGACGTAATTCTAGACCAATGCCCCTCTCTAAGGAAAACAGCATGGTTACCCCCTGCACTCCATTTCCTGCTTCCCCTCCTGGCATGAATTAAAGTCTCCCTTGGAGAAAGGTGGGGGAGGAGATGCTAAAGATATACCTCTTCTGCTGTAGGTGTGAATCATATTGAGATAGCCTTCATTAATATGAATACACAAAAGAGAAACAAGATAATCTGGGAAGAAGATGCTAGCAGCTAGAGGGATAGGGGAAGGCTTTATGAAGAAGCTGATGCTTGAATTGAATCTTGAAGGAAGCCAGAAATGGTGGAAAGGAAGAAACAAATACTAGGCAACACAGCATGAAGGAACTCTCCCATTGGGAGCAAGATATGCATTTTAGGCATAGGGCATTTCTGGTATAAGCCTATGCAAAGACACGAAGAAGAGAGATAGAATATTACTAGCTGTGCAACCCTGGACACATCATGTAACCTCTCAGCCTCAGCATCTTCATCTATAGAATGGGGATAATAATGGCACCACCCAGGATAGTCGAGAGGATAAAATGAGAAAATATTTGTAAAGTGCTTTGCAAACCTTAAAGAGCTATATAAATGCTAGTTATTAATATGTTATTAATATATGAGGAACATTATGAAAGGCACTTTGTACTATAGTATATGTGAAGGGGAATACTTTGTAATAAGGCTAGAAGGGTAGGATTGGGCCAGGTTGTGAAAGGCTTTATGTACAGCAGGGGAGTTTATATTTTATCTTCAAGGTAATAGGAAACCACTGGAGGTGATTGGGGAGGGGAGTCCCATGCTCAGACCCGTGCTTAGGCAAATCACATTGGCAGTGGTGGGAGAATTTGTACTGAATATTGTATTGAGGAAAGAAAACAAATTGTTCACTATCTTTCATTTAGTTATCCTTCAAACAATTAGGCACCTCCTTTCCCCCCCACCCCCAGTTCTCACTTTCTTGGGTTGAACAACCCCAGTTCCTTCTTTAAGGAGGATATAGAAGATACAATAGGGAAGGGAAGAATGGTGGGGGCAGGGCTCAAACCCAGGAAGGATGGGTTAGTTACGGGAAGGATATGACAAAAAACCCAGTGGAGGTGGGGGTGGAGGGGGTAGCAGTGAAGGGGTGGTAGGAGGTGAACTAACCATATCCTTATAAGCCTGAGCAGTCCTCCTCTCCTAGTGGCAAAAGGCAGCAACATGACTGAAGCAACTAATTCACTGACTGAACTTGGTCTGATGAAGCTTCTACTAAGAAGACTCCTCATGTCTTAAAATAGGAACTGAGAACCCCCTTGCCTGGCACATAGTAGGCATTTAATACAAATTTGTTGGCAGACTGGCTGCCTCTTGTAAAGAGAAAGAGGAGGCTGAAGTCATTGTTGGTACCTTGGAAATAGACTCCATGAGTAGTCCAATATGGCGGCCACATTTTATGATACAACAGCAGGACAGAAGAGCCTCTACCAAGCCAGCCATGGGCCTGTCTAATGGCCACAAATCAAGGCCATTTTCGGGGCCAGCAAACACCATCGAGTTTTCTAACACACTTCAGCCCACAGACAGCCAAACAAGGGCATGTCCAAATACAAGTTCTCCCTCATTTGATTCTTTATTTTTAACCCACCTTAATTTTTGACTGAAAGAAACCAAAGAAGGTTGAATTCTGGGAAGAGCCAAGCTATTTTCTAACAAAAAAGGCCTAGGATGCTGTTGGACAGATATATCCAAGCTGCAGTTTTCTCTCATGCTACCCTTTCTTATTTATCACCCCTAAGTTTCCTTGAACTTGGGGATGGATGAGGCTGCTGTCTTTGAAACAGAATCTCAAGATTGAAAGCAACTCAAGAGGCCTTCTAAGCCAACCCATAGCTGTACAGGAATATCCTCTACAGTACTGCCAACAAATAGTAATCTAGACCCTATTAAACACCTCCAAGAATAGGGAAGCCACTATCTCCCAAAGCAGCCCATTGCATTTTGGGAAGTTCTTTCATATGAAGTCAAAATATTCTTCAAAGCAACTTTGACAACTGGCTCTTGGTTTTGAGCTCTGAGATCAAGCAGAATAATCACAATCCCTCTTCCACATGGAGTACCCTACTCCCATGAAGACTACTTCCATGTCTCCCCTCTTTTTTCTAGGCCAACCATGTCTAATTCCTTGGATCCATCCTCAAGTGTCTTGGTCTCTGGTCCTCTTGTTTCTTTCATCATCTGGAGGCATCTAGCTTATCAATGTCCTTTCTAATGCTGTCCATCCCCAGAGAAAGAATTGATGGTATCAGTATAGATTGATGCATAGTTTGTTTTTTTTTTACTTCTTTTTTTTTTGAGTTTTTCCTCCTTTGGTCTATGTTTTCTTTCACAACGTGACTATTGTGGAAATGTTTTGCATAACTACACATGTATAATCTTTATGAAATTGCTTGCCTTCTCAATGAGGGGGGTTGGGGAGGGAGGAAAGAAGAGAATTTAGAACTCAAATTTTTGAATACGAAGGTTAAAAATTACTTTCATATGTAACTGGGGAAAATAAAATACTAAATAAAGAAAAAAAAAGAAAAAAATCAATATCCTTTTAACAATGTGGCACTCTGACCTGCCCTTATTCTGGGCACTAGTCCTCATCTTCCTCAAGCCCAGGGCTGTGCTATATCATACAGCTGACCCAAGTTGAACTTGCAAACTACTGAAATTCCAGATTTTTTTTAAACAAAGTCCTGCTTTCTAGACATGCCTCCTCCAACCTTTATGGGACTTTCTGTAGGAATCCCAATATAGCGTGCTTACCTTTCACACAGGCCTGTACCAGTCCATACCATTCCCCACAGCTGTCACACAGCAAGGTGAAGGCAGTCTCTTTGTGACCCATGACGTAGCCCTGAGCACAGACATACAGCAGCTCATCCCCCATCTCAAATCCAGTGTGGCCATGTAGGATGGTGTGAGGGAAGGAAGGGGGATCCCCGCATGGTTTATCTGAGGAGAGAGGAGAAAGGATTATTTTCTATAAATTACAAAAAAACCAAAACAACTATTGCCTGGTTTTAAGTCTTTGGGAAAGAAAAGTTTATTAAAAGTGCCAGTCCATCAGAGGCCTTGCACCAAGGTTTTCCTAAAATAGTTGCTAAAGCAATCTCTCTTACTGATAATATCATGGACAGAAGAAATAATCTCCACTAGGTATCCATTTTCCTTGATTCAGGCATCTACTCTGCCCACTACTATTCCCTATTCCTCCTTTAGTATTGGCTAGAGATTTGTGAATGACAAGCCCCAGACCACCATTTTTGGTTCAACAACATGGCTTCCACATGGGCAGCTATACTGTTGGTCTTCAAAGTTTCACTTACACTTCCATTTTGATTAGAGCAAAAAATGATTACAAAATGACTACAATGACTACAAAAAAGGGAAGCTTCAATGCCAGCTTCGCTCTGTCTTTGCTTTTCATCCTGTGGCCAGTACAGTCTTTATTTTCATTCATGAAGGCCACTATTATCTAGTGAGGACTTCTAGTCAACCTGAATTAAATCCTAGTTAGTTCCTTAGAGGCTCAGCATCTCTCTCCATGCCCTCAGGCATCTAATCCTCTCTCAGAATGTGTGCCCCTCTCTCATCTACTATCTATGCCTATTAGGATCTCATTTGGATTCAGTCAGTGATGGAGAACATAGGACTTTTCAACAAAGACAATACTACAGGCATTCTTAACTTGGAGTCCATAAAGTTTAAAAAATCTATTTTGATAACTATTTCAATATAATTGACTTTCTTTGTAATCTTCTGAATTTTCTTTTATTCATTTAAAAACATTCTGAGAAGGGGTCTGTAGGCCTTGCCACACTGCCAACAGAGTCTGTGTCACACAAAGATTAAGAACCCCTGGAAGACAGGAACTCATGAAAGCATGCTGGTGGTCCCATATGCCCCACCTATGGTCCCACTCCCCAATAATATCCTCTGCTGTAGAATACACTCATTCAACCTCTCCAGTTTTGTTATCACACAAGGTGGGGGAAGGCAGTCTATTCTCCCTAGAGTGTGACAAGTATTTTTATGGACTGAGAAAGATGATTAACCAAACATAGCACCATTCTCTCCAAAGGAATACCCGAGAACAGTGACCAGGCTCGATAGCAGATAGAAAGGAAAATATTCCATCCCACAAGACTCCGGAGATCTTCTCCATCAGAGGATATTTCCATAATGGCATAGGCGGAGAATCTGGTTCAGGAAAACCACCAAAACCCACCTGACATTCTCAGACCATTTACTATAGATTTCTGGGTTTCCCACACACATGCAACAAGTAAGTTCCAGCCACTTGGCCCGGCTGTCTTCTGCCTTTCTTGGATAAAATCTTCCTATTTCAACTAAATATGCTGAGTTTAGGAAGCAGCCTTCCCAGTTAGGAGATGCTTGAATTTAGTGCCCTGGGTTTCCGATTCCTTTGCTTCTGGACTCAAATAAGGAAAGAATGAAATATCTCTTGCTAAGGCTGGGACCTTTCTCTGCCTCAGGGAAGTCAAAATGTTTTCAGTCTTTCCCATCAACTTTCAATGATTCGGTGGCTGATGATTCTAGTAAATAACCCTAGTACTAATTGTGTCCCAGGATGGCTGGAGAACGCAAGTGAAATGATATGTATTTCTCAAACTTCAAAGGATTTTTAAATGGAATTTTTGTTGGGGGCAGGGAGTGGGTGTGGGGATGACACCTGTAATTATAGACTTGCAAGACCAGCATCCTAGATTTAGAGTTGGAAGGACCTTGGAGATCAAGTTCAACTCTCTTATTTCACAAATGAGGAAATGAAGGCCCAGAGTGGTCAAGTGATTTTTCCAGGGTCACACAGCTAGTAAGTGACTAAAGCAGTATTTGAGCTCAGGTGTTCCTGACTCCAGCACTCTAGCCACTAACTATGCAAGCCTACCTGGAAGCTCCTATTAAGTGTTAATTAAATGTTAGTTAATGAAGGGTTAATTAATCTCCAAAGAGGAGATTCCATTACTTACGAGAATGGAACCTGCCTTACAACTTATATCTTAGAGAGCTTGGGGAGCACGAAGAGGTTAAGAGATTTCCCCTCCTCTTCCTTTTGTGTCTCCTCCTTCTGCTCCTTTTTCTTCACCACTTTACCTTCCCCTCTTCATGACATTTCAGCACAATGAGCCCTAGGCTTTGCATTACTTGATAAAATAATAATAAAATTCATTTGGAGAAACAAAAGACCCGGGATATCAAGAGAAATGAAAAAGTAGTAAGGAAGTGAGAATAGCACTTCTAGACCTCAAATTATATTATAAGTCAGCAGTCATCAAAACGGTTTGTTGGGGCAGCTGGGTGGCACAGCGGATAGAACTCCGGCCTTGGAGTCAGAAGGATCTGAATTCAAATCCAGTCCCAGACACTTGACATTTACTAGCTGTGTGACCCTGGGCAAGTCACTTAACCCCAATGACCTCACCAAAAAAAAATTTGTCATTGGTTAAAAGATAGAGAACTAGTTCAGTGGAACAGACAAGACAAAGGAGAGGCAGAAACAATGGAACTCAATACTACAATGTTCATTAGGCCCCCCAAAATAAATTATATTAAATTAAATTTAAATTAAATTAAATGAATTATTAAATTAATAAATTAATTTGACAAATTAATTTGACCAAATGCCGTTCTCCAGTTGATAAGTGGTCAAAGGATATAAATAAATAGTCCTCAAAAGAATTAATATTAATAGCTATATGAAAAAATGTTCCCAGTCACTAATAATTAGAGAGATGCACAGAGCAACCAAAGGTTTTACCTCTAACCCAACAAACTGGCAAAGATGACAAAGGAGGGGGAAAGTCAATGTTGGAGGAGTTGTGGGAAGATATAGCACATTGTTGGTGGAGTTGTGAATCAGTCCAACCATTTTGGAAAGCAATTTGACTTTAAGTAGAACAAACAAACAAAAACTCTAAAATGTCCACATCTTTTGATCCAGGGATGCTACTACTAGGTTATAATATACCCTGAGAAAGTCATCAATAAGAAAAATTCCCCATAAATAATGAAATATTTATTTTATTGTTCAGTTGTATCTGACTCTTTTGTGACCCTATTTGGGGTTTTCTTGGCAAAGATATTGGAGTGGTTTGCCATTTCCTTCTTCAGCTCATTTTATAGAAGTGAAGCAAATAAGGCTAAGTGACTTGCCCAGGGTCACACAGCTAGTAAATGTCTGAGGCCAGATTGTAACTCAGGGTGATGAGTCTTCCTGACTTTAGGTCCAGCATTCTATCAACTGTACCACCTAGCTGCACACACACACACACACAGAGCTCCAGTAGTACTTTTTTATGATAGCAAAGAAATGGAAACAGAATATATACCTATTGACTAGGAAATAACTAAACAAATTGTTGTATATGAAGATAATGTAACATTACTGTCCTTTAATAAAAGACAAATATGATGAATACAGAGAAGCACAGAAAGACTTCTATGAACTGATGCAGAGTGAAGAAAGCAAAACCAAGAAAATGACATATGCAATGACTACAGAGATGTAAATATAAAGAACAATAGTCACAAAATAATTGGAAGTGAACCCTGAAGAATTACAAAGAACAAGAACAGCCCTGAAGAAAAGATATGAGAAGACATCTACCCTAACTCCTTTTCAGAGGTTGGAGATCCATGTGTGTGGAATGTTATATTTTCAGACTTTTTCAATGTATTGCTGATTTTTTTCTTCTCCCTCCTTTTCTTTAAAAAATATTCTTTGTTACATGGAATGGCTCTCTGGAAGAGGGGAAGGAGGATACAAGGATAAGTTTTGGCGATATAAAAATAAAAGTTATCAATAACTTTTTTTAAAAAAAAGTTTGAAATGGGAGACACGGAGTCTGTGACTATAATGAAATTCTGATCAAAGCAACACAGAATATTAGTCCTGGATGGGACTTTAGAGATCATTTAATCCAACTTTCTCACTGTAGAGAAAGAAACTAAACCCCAGAGAGAAGTGATGTGTCTAAGGTGACAGATGTGCCTATTGGAGACAGTGTTACACAGTGATGTAACATGATGGAGACACGGGTAATAGAGGCAGTATTACACAGTGGTGTAACAGTGATAGAGACTCAGGCAATAGAGACCATGTTTTACAATGATGTAACAGTGATAGAGACACAAGTGATGGAGACAGTGTTACACAGTGAGAAACATGACAGAGACATAGGTGATGGAGACAGTGTTACACAGTGATGTAACAGTGATGGAGACTCAGGTGATGGAGACCTTGTTTTATAGTGATGTAACAGTAATAGAGACACAAGTAATGGAGACAGTATTGCACAGTGATGTAACATGATGGAGACACAGGTAACAGAGGCAGTATTACTCAGTGATCTAACAGTGACAAAGACAGTGTTACACAGTGATGAAACACGATAGAGATATAGGTGATGGAGACAGTGTTACACAGTGATGTAACAGTGGTGGAGACAGAACCCAAAAACAAATCTTCAGACTCCAAATCGATTCTCTTTCTCAAGCTTCCTTTATGATTTCAGCAATCCATGGTCTCCCCATTTCTGTGATTGTGCATGTAAACCGAAAAAATGAAGAGTACAGCCCCCAAATGTTTAGGAACCAGGCTCTGGTAGCTTTACAGAAAACAATACTCATATGAATCCCCACCTACTTACCTCCCTGGGTCTTGGGTTTCCTAACTCTAAAGACAGACACAGGAAATAATGCTGTAGCACAGTCTAAACTACCAGAATGATAAAAAAAAAAAAGTACAACAGACTAACAGAGTGGGATGGTCATAGATGGTGAGAGAAGCAGAAAACAACAGAAAATCCCCCTTAGGCCAGAGCAGTTACTTTCCCTAATGAAGGATATGACCCAGTTGTCTTACCCAGGGTGGGATCTGGAAAGGTAACTTGGACAGAAAGATTTCTTTTCAATTAAAAATGGGAAGCCAA